GTGACTGACTGACTGACGCTAATTCTAACCATGTTCTAGAAAGGTTAGAAATCTGAAAATTGGTACACATGTACCTTTTGGGATGCAGAGTTCAGAAAAATCCCACTTTGGAGGTGTATGCCCTAGGGGTACACATTTTGGGGGGAAACGTTTTTCTTGAATATACTTTGTGACAGATGAGGATGGCATTCAGAATATCAACTAAATGTGCAGTGTCCGGTGGTGAAGTCGTAGCACTTCTGAATGGCAATTAGGTCTGGGTTCAATTCCCGGTCATTCCTCGGGTTTCTTCTGCCTTTTTTTTGCCAGACAATAAAACGGTGAGACATGGAAAGCTGAAACTTGGCATGGACGTGCCTACCGAGACGTTGAGTTCAGAAAAAATGAAAAATTTAGATCCATGCCCTGGGGTCATATTTTTTGAGCCGACGTTTTCAAGGATTTTTTTGTCCGGTGTATTAAGCTACAGTGGAAATATGAAAGTTGGTACATAACTTCCTATTGGGATGCTGCAGAGAACTTCAGACTTTAGAAGTAAATGCCGTGGTGGCACAAATTTCAAAGGGAGATATTTTCAACTAATATTTTTGCATCAGCAAAACTGATGAACATGGAAAGCTGAAACTTAGCATGAATGTGACTACTGAGACAAAGAGTTAAATAAAAATGTTAAGTCTCGATACATCACATGGAGGAATTTTTTCGAGGGGCGATGTTTTGGAGAAAAAAAATTGTTGTGACGATTTGGACAGAAATGGAAAGGTGAAACTTGGCACATGTATAAGTAACATGATATTACTGAACTGAGGGAGTATTGAGCTTTAATGGGGCATTCCCTGCGGGCATAGATTTTGGCTGGGTCGGCATTTCCAAATATGTTTTTTCACCAACGAAAAGGGGAAACGTTTAAGGCTAAAATTGCTTGGCATGGAGTTCCCTGAGTCTAGATTTCAAAAGAAATAAAATTTACGTTAAAACCCAATATAGTCCTTTTTTCAGTCCCATTTTCCTGATTTTTTTTTATTCAACGAACCAGAGAGAGAAAATTAAAACTTTCCTCAGAAGTATCTGATGGCTGAGTAGAGGAAAAAACCTAATTTTGAAATAAGTCTCCTTAGCGTCGATTACTGGAGGGAAGTATTTCAAAATATATTCTCCACCCTTACAAAAAGGGTCACAAGAAAATATTTCAAATTAGACACACATAGAATCATAGAGGTAATGAGTTTGATAAAAATCAAGACTTTTCGACTCCATATATCACGTATTTCAATGGGGACGTACTTCAAATATGTGTTTGCCATTTCGAAAAGAATAAATGAATTAATCACTATTCAAGGTAATAGAGCGCCGAAGGCGCGACCATAGCGAGGTTGTTTGCCCGAAGGGCAAACAAACTCGCTAGTATTATATATAGATGATCGTGAGTAGCTCACTAACTGGCATAAGTAGCTATTCACATGCTGAGTTCAGGAATACGTCCACTGTGGTGATACACGCTATAGGGGCACACCTTTTCGGGAGCATATTTTCAAATAGCTCTCTTCGCTTCAATCAAACGGAGACCCATGGTAAGCCATAACATGGCCTGCAGAGTGCAGGCTAATCTCCCATAGCTCGGACAATGCCTACATCATGCCTAGATCGGTCTGGGTGGGACTGGCACCATTGTGACCATGGGACCGTATTCCCGATGGAGATCTACTCCCCCCTATGCAGGCGGGCTTTAATATGCATTCTATTATTATTATTATTATTATTATTATTATTTAAGTACGAAGTGGACTCATCTGCGTACACCAGCCCATGCAATGGGCATAAAACAGGATGCTTCGTATCTAAGGAATTTTTAATTGTAGTGGGATGGATTCCCCCATTGCCTAGATTGGTTTGGGTGGGACAGACACCTTTGGTATTTCCTCTTCACTATATATATATATAGCATTTATTATGCTATTTTCTCACGGTTCTTGATGTTCCATGGGATTTCCCTCAAAAGTACTTGCAGCTTACTAAATGATGCATGAGGTGGAGAAAAAAAAACTATGCCTTCTGCAGAAAAACATAGAAATTTTGTTTTGAAACACGCAGTCTTCGATGCGTTTGCTTTTCAAGTTGATGACTGCTTAAAGAAAAAATTGTTTTATGATAATCACCTTTCAAGATCTCTGCGATGATAACTTTATTAAGCCACGGTTCTTCCTTTCTTTATATTGCGGCCTTTCTAAAGCGTCTTTTTCGTTCAAACAGACCCGAGTAACAAGAAAAGTCGGAAAGTTACGTGTCCCAGGTGCTCGTTCCTCGTCTTGAATGCACCTAATACAAGTAGTAGAGTGAAACATTCCAAATGCAAAAAGCCTATTTGCTAAGGTTCTGTATCAAGTTCGTCTAAAAGGGAAGGGGGTTGGGGGTGGGGAAATATTTTTAGACCGGGTCGGGCCTGTCAACATGTCGTCTAAATGTTTGGATATAGATTGGATATAGGTTGTTTCTCTCTTGTTGTCTCTCATAGTTTGTTTGATACTATATGAGAGTCTTAGATCATTGCACACTAATATCATAATTATTCATATGCTATCAGCAAAAATATGTAGGTCTTAAAAGGTTTTCAATTCTCAAGAAGTCTGAAGATGGAATGAGAAAAGCTCTGAGCACCCTCCTTCTGTTGCGCCACAGTTCATGGATGTCCCTTCCTCAATTTCTAATGGGAAATTCCGATCTTATTCCCACCGGTACCCTCCTAATACTATGTGTGCACATGCATTATTGTCGCACTGAAATGAGGAAAAGGAGACTCCCTGGGTTGCTTTGCAATCTCTTCAAATAAAGTTTAGATTGCCTTCGATTTAGATTAATTTTAACGCCAAATTTTGCAGAAACCTAAAATTTAATCCAATAGAAAACCATTCATTCGGCTCCAAGATGAAATACCCCTATGGCTGCGTTTTAAATTACTTTCAAGTGAAGTTAAGATTCATATTTAGATTATTAGGTTTAGCAGAGGCAAGGAACAGGCCCATGTTTGAGCAAATGTACTTTGTAAATCGAATGTCATTTTTGTCCATAGATCCAATCACAGGGATGCTTGTTCGCAATACAGTCGCTGTGCCTCCTCTGCCTCAAAGCCAATCATTTCACTCACAAACGTCAACGCCTGTTTCTGGAGAAACAGGATAACTCGTTCAGGCACCAGACCTTATCGGGAGAGCAGTCGCACTTGGCAGTTGAATGTGAGTCTGTGGCTCCAGAGGGAGAGGCAGTGGCTCCGACTTCAGGGATCTGTTGCGGATTGTGGTGTTACGATGGGTCCTCTTCATGGAACGGAATCGACGGTGTGAGTTAGGTGGGAGGAGGGAGCATCTGTCGCAGTTCATTTTCAGCGGTAAGATGCTCGTCCTGAGGATGATTGAAGCCTTCGCGGAAGTTTCGCTTGAAAAAGACGTAAATGATGGGGTAGACACAATTGGTGATGTTAGCCAGCCATTGGGTCACCGGTAGGACGTAGAAGAGCATCTCGCCATGGGAGAAATCATAGGAAAAGTGTAATAGGATAAATACGATGAATAAGGGAAGCCAGAGGAGGAAAAAGACAGCGACCATCACCAAGATCATCTTCTCCCACTCGCGCCAGTTATTCAGGCGGATTCGCTCGTTGGGGTCGATCCGCTTGCCCATGACCTGCCAATAGAATTTGAGCCAGATCCAGAAATGGCAAATGGTCATCATAACCATAGGGAATGGATAGCTCATGATGAGATAGGTGAAAATAAAGTAGATCATCCTGGTTTTCCCTGACGGCCAATCCTCCATGCACATCTGAAGGTGAGAAAAAATATTCGTTTTAAATGAAGATACGTATACTCTAAGCTAAAAAAGAGCACGGCAAAGACAGTTGAGCGATATCGATACACATCAAAATAGGAGCTCATTCCAGTGTACCATGAAATCGAAATAAGTACGCGGATTAAGTACATTAGTACATGCATCGGCTTCATGAATCAAGGAACTATATTTGCAGATGCATGCATCAGATACATGCATCCCAATTCCCATGGCCCGAGGTAGGCCGTGCAAAATCCTCTAGCAAAAATCGGTTCCAAGATATGTATGGTTTTTCTTTTATAACTTGTTTTAAAATAACAATTACCAGTCATTGCATTGCGATCCGTTGTTCAAAAGCAATTACCAAGAAAATGGAAACTAGTTTTGTCACACATTTTATAAAGATAGAACGCGATATCCAAATGTGTCTTACGTGCATGAATCCTTTCTTTTAAATTGAATTTTAATTTAGAGAGCACTTCGTCGTCAGTTAGGTAAATGATGAGTTGATCTAGTATGTAAACTCTAAAATCTACCAATGCAGTTCTTTAACAAGGAAATTTCTTCAGGACTCACAGATTACAGATTACTCAAGAAACTAGAATTAAACGTAATTATTAAACGTAACTATTGAACGTAAATGTAAATGGTTTCCCATTTACTTTCATATTATACACACTCATAACAATGATAACGGAGAGAATAGGCAAGAACTCAAATGTAAACAAAAGACTATTAATTTGGCTTAGGAGGTGTAAGGGATGTTCCATGTTGGAAGGAACAAATGTATCTCCATTTCTAAACGAATGGCCGAGCCATTTTGAACGAGCCAATTGTGGATGTTGCCACAAAGAGTGGATCTGAGAGAGGATCATTTGGACCTTTGATTACCTTGGCTCATGCAGTATCGCCGTTTTGAATTCAAGGCACCCAATATTGATTCTGCGCAGTATACACTGTTGCAACACAAGTTCAACAAATTGCCTTTTCAGTTGTCGCTACCATTTCTTTGCTTTCACGGGCGAATGCTGCTAGTACCTTTTAGCTATACAGGATTCCAAACCATCACATTGTCCATCATGACATCCACTGTTGATTCGGCCATTCTTTTTTAAATGTTTATTAATTTGTCCATATTTGCCGCGGAATGACCCATAGAAATTCGAGTGCTGCATTTGAAGTAGCGAAAACGGAAAACTGCGAATAACATGGAGCGCAACCTCATTTCAAGGATGATTCCTATCACAAGTACGAATCGAATGGAAAGTAAGTTCACGTTTCAAGTGCAATTCATGACCCAATTGAAATTGCACTTCCACGGGCATACGACGAATGTTATTGCACCTCAAATAAAAAAAAGCATGGCCATTGCCAAGGAGCTTAAATCTGAACTTATGAGAGGTGTAAATCATGAACTTCTTGCATCCTTCTTCTCTCCCCCTCCCACTTATCTGGATCTACCACATAAACGTGGCCTCCAAGGGAAAGACAAGAGATAATGAAGTGGATTATTCATGGGGGTGGGTCGATCCTCAGAGAGGTACTTAAAGAGGATCCGCATTGAAAGAACCTTCCTTATGTCTGTGATGATCAGTCGGCGACATTGCTGACCTTATTTCTCGTCGGAGACATGCATGTTAGTGAACAGTCATCTTTGGGGTATCGCTCGCTAAAAGGGCACTACACAAGGGAGATTCCCTTTTTTCTTGATGAGCGAGATATGATCCTTCTCGTCGGTCATGCCGGTCTTGTTGGCCTTATCGTTGCCAATTGAATTTCAAGCTTGTAAGAAACTTATTTCCTTCTATTCCGGTCTAAATTGTCACGGGTAAAAATTTTTGAAATATATTCGCTAAAACTAAATTCGTACTTGTGAAAAACCTATTCGAAATATAATTGGAAAACGTCGTCTCCATGAATATATCCAGGGAAAAAAAGCATTGTCCTAAGGCTCCATACACACATGCAGTCGATACCTGGCTCGCATCAAGAATGACGTAGATGACGGACGGAAGGCTGACGGCGAGCGAAAAGACCCAGATGCATACCAGGATGATCTTCCAGGACGTATTCGTGATCCGCTGGAAGGAGCTATCCCTGCGCATCACGATGTAGCGCTCCACCGACATCGCCAGGAGCGTGTAGGCGCTTACGTTCATGCACACCTGCTGTATGTAATTCAATGCCTTGCACATGAACAGGCCGAGTACCCATCCTGGAAGAAGGAGGTTGAGGTCAGTATTGTACTGCTTCCCTTACTTGGTATTATCATTATTTTAAATATTTTAATTATTTAATGTTTCATTTCATTGTTTATAATAAATATATGTAAATAATTTACGTTTAACAGTTCATATTTTTGCTTTCATGCTCGATTTAATTCATTTCTTTCATCACGTTCGTTTTATTCTCCTTTTTTTCAAGACTGCTAGAGAGTCCTATTTTTGCTACGCATTTAGTAGGCAAACAATTAATACTTTTCGCGGCATTCTTTAAAAAAAAAACGGGCTGGGCATCATAAAAATGCATTTGGTCGCTGCCGAAACCGCATGCACTAGGTCTCCGACGATAGCGAAGTCCATGACTAAGTGGAATGCGGAGTGAATAGCAGTGAATGGGGCTATCTATGTTTCGTCATAAATTAAGTAATATATGAACAGGAAATCTGCTTGAAAAGAGGGAAGGCTTGATGGTATTGAAGATGATTATTATTCTGCCAGGTGACAATAAAGCCGTCGATTTCTAGAGGTGGCGTTTATCGCTATGCTACATCCTCTGCTAGATTGTCCGGTCCTCATGCCAGATGCGGGCATTCCAGCTTTCGAAAAAAACGAACAAAATATTCCAAACCAAAGTTTCCTTCCGAATCTGTTGGTTGTTCCCGCTTTTGCGTATTCCACGCATTTTTTTTGACATTTTGCATTGCTTTCCAGTAATGAGACTCGTTCGACAATGAGAGGTGGGGACGGGGGGAGAATCTTTAATGCAAGCAGCGACTTTGAAAAGGCCGGCCATATCCATTTTCTTGGCAAGCTCAGCCGCTTTAGGCCACTGGATGCTGGTTTTTATTTTTTACAGTAGGTGCGGGCTAAACCATAAGTTTACTGATATATGAAATAAAATAGCAATTTGCTGCCAAATTATTCTACAACATGAAAACTTTTTCAAACACTCTGTAATTAGAAGATGCAACTGAAACTGGTTGCAATAATACCTTCAGATTTATTTTCTTCGATACAAACGTATGAGGTGATCCCGAAAAAGCTGAAAATAAATGACAATTTGCAAATATATTTCATTTTGCAGACTTGAAGAATAGATGAAAATGTTTAAACTGACATGAGATATTGGAATGAATGCTTAAGGGCTTTTCAGAAAATGAATTTAGAGTGAATTTTGGGGGGATTTACTACACTATATGGAATTAAAATGCAAGGATTCTAATGATTGCACAGCATCAAACCGTAACGTTTGATTCTTTCCATGAATCAGATTGAATTGTAAGTTTTTTAGCCGATTCGTGACGAATATACGTGAATGTGCTAAAAAGTCTGAATTTCTTCAAACCAAAAAGGATGCTGTAAAAATTTTTCTTACTATTAAGGATGTTGCTGAGGAGATTCCCAGGGACGCAAAACACGATGACGAGGAAATCCGCGAGGGCCAGGTTGAAAATGAAGAAGTAAGGTGTATTGTGCATGTGCCGTGTCCTGACGATGACCATCATCACCAACAGATTCCCCACGAATCCGAGGAGGAAGACGGCGCCAAACAGGATGCACCACGTGGATGTCACCGCACGCCCGTGCAGGAAGGTCTCACTCTGGATGGTCTCGTTCCATAGGGTGTCCAACAGGGCGGGCAGCTCCTCTTCCATGGTGTGGTCTCAGGTCCCCAAGAATTTTATCTGAGTGGGTGAGAGAGCATATATATGATGTTCCTTTCGATTCAACAAAGTGATACCTCAGTAGAATTCAAGGCAGGAATCATGAAATCAAAAGATGTAAGGGTACCAAAAGGAAATAAGCACGAAAAATCTGGTGGTCACGGCAGGCCATTGATGGAATTGGTGGGGTGCAATAGGTTGTCACCGCCAAGAATTCTTGACCAATTTATTTGCCCCCATTACAGGTGTCTTTGAGAAAGACGAAGACGTGAGATTTTCTATCACTTCACCCCACTTGTTCGGTTCTTTCATGTTCAGTGTCTCCCTTGGAGTAAATACCATTTAAGATAAGAGTCGAGACTCCTGAGTGACATGAACGAAGACACATGTTGCTCTATGGCGCAGCTTCTTCATTAATAATTACTCATTGGGACGCATGGAATTCTCTGAGGAATCTTGAGAAGTATTTAAAAATTACTGCAGAAATTTATTTGTCGTTAGAAATACTTCACCAATCAACTACACGGAATCTAATAAATAACATGAGTTATGCATATACATCAGGAGTAAAACTACTATACATACAATAAGCAAGACTTATCTTTAGGTAGACCTTCAGATCACTCTTGATGAAAACACAGCGACAAGAACAGTCGTATTACACGATTTACTTCTGTCACAATTTGGCAGCATGTGCCCTTATTTTAGAAAAAGTTCGATCCGTTGACTTTTCCATCACGTAAAGACTAATAAAGAAGACCCTGGGGCTACAACCACCGAACAACGGGAACCGGGACGATTACCTATCTGGCATTACTATAGGTATCATGGGGAAAATCCAGATGTAACTTTTTCATTTTTTTAAATTCCGCCTTCTGCTGTAACCATAGCAACCAGACAACACGACCCAATGCGCAAGTGCAGATTTCCGCCTGGGTCGGGGTGCCCGTCTTCCACGAAAACATCCACTTCCCTTCCAGCCATGGCGGTTGACGAATCCATAGTAGACAATGGAGGAGAACGGCTGCTCCCTGCCGCGTAAACAAGGTTGCTAGGCGCACGCGTGAAATGCCGTATCTGGCATTATACACTTCATATTGTCCCCCCTTCTTTTCGCGACGCGGACGCGCGAACCCTCCAGAACATTAAGCTTACGCCGAAAAAATGACAACTGTTATTTATTTTCAAGGTTACATGGTTCGAATGCGGTACATATATATGTAATAAAACCAGTTGTACAGGGGTCAGCAGAATGCCAGATCTGTACCTGGGCTGGTACTCTCTACTTCTTTGTGTGGACGAATGGAAGAGAAATTTACGGTACATTGGAATTCCCATATGTTCTTATTTCAACCCGAACCCCCACAACGGGCAACAACTCCGTTGCACCGGAACAATATCATAGGCTCTAAAGCTTGGAGGCTTAGTCTACCGTCGATAACTATTGCACCAATGAAACACCTAACCAAATACAAACACAATAGAAACTGGACTCAGAAAAAGGAAGAAACGTTGAGATTAGAATTTCCTCCTCGACACAGGAGCACGAGTATGTGCCGGAGGGAATGTGATAGAGCGAAGAGGCCATGCACGACCATGCGCTCGAGAGATTATCTCAACTGCCAGTGCATTGCCGCGAGGGCTTATGAGGGAGGGTTTTCGTCCTAATGAGGCGGCACACGATGACGTAGAAGACAGGCTGACGTGCCAAGACGGAGGCTGACAAGGCCACACTACCCCTCGAAGGGGTTCGGAGAGTTCCCACTTAGATCTGCGCAGGAAAGCGATTTGGGGCTAGAACGTACACACGATGACGTAGAAGACAGGCTGACGTGCCAAGACGGAGGCTGACAAGGCCACACTACCCCTCGAAGGGGTTCGGAGAGTTCCCACTTAGATCTGCGCAGGAAAGCGATTTGGGGCTGGAACGTCTCGCAATATGCCGTGTAAGCAGACAGACTAGCGAAGCGTGCCTGTGGCACGGGAATCCGTTCGAGAACATGACATCGCGAAATTTGAAACTTGTGAAAATGTCCTACACATTCCGAAAATCTATTTCTTTTTGTGACAGGTTTTGTGAATTTAATGTCCGGCGATCTCGCTTTGGATCACTGCCGTCATGAAAATCCTTTTCCGTCACCTTCATTCCCAATTTTTCCACTTCAATTCCTAACGATCCAAGTTCATCATCACTGCACAGATCCTGTTCGGGTGTCTCAATCTAAAGAGTTCTAGTAGACATGAAGATTCCAATAGGCAATGTATGGATATCCGGGTTCTTACATTTTATTAATTACTCTATGATTCAGTATTTGTGAATACACCCTTGTGAACGGGTTTTTGAATGATAGTGACACATTCTTTGAGGATCTTCGACGACTGTTCCTCTTTTGCATCGCCTAAGTTAAAAAAATTTTTCTCATATTCGGTATCTCCTGTGCTCTCCTCCGCTTTTGACGAAGGATTTCTCTCTCTAAATAGTGAGCATTCCCGGTCTTCCGGCACGATGATTTCATGCCATTGTTTTAATTCTCGAGAGATGAGGAGATCTGCTGCTCCTCCATTCGTTAAAATGGACTATCTAACGCGAATGTGGGAGATGGCGTTGTATCTATTGCCAGATTCTCTGACTGAAAAGCATCTTTTTTTTCAAGCACCTTATAGCATTTCGATCATGATAGAAATCTAAGAAGTGATGCGAGCACGCAAAATCTTGGGATACCTTTTCTTCTAAGCGATTCAGACCATTTTTTTCCTCTCAAGAAATCTTGGAAGTTCATGGAAGGAAACATTTTATGCCTGTCTATTCCCATAAATATTCTTACAGGATGCGAATATGCAAACCTTGCCACAATCCTTCGCAACAGCCGCTACTACGAGAGTGAATGAAATTAAGGAACCTGAGAATATTATCGAAATCAACGAACAGATCAATAATGTATGTAGAAAACTGCCTAGGTGGCTCTGACAAACGCGAGTAGACAGTATTGCGTCTGAGAGAAACAAGAGAGAGGGTGTGGCCAAAGGCCAAAGCACCTGTTTTTATAGCGGAACGGTTCGCTGACGTCATCACATGCGCAACATTTTACCCCCCTCCCTCTCTCCGACCCCTCTCGACTCACCCCCCTCCCCTCTCGATTTGGCTATATACCGTTAAAAATGCCTTTCAGGCCACCCTACACAGTCGGGAAGTGCTGATAATAAATCAGAATTCCGGGTTAATGCCTTTTCCTTTTAAATATATTTTTTAACTGAAATGGGAAAATTGAGAAAAGTGTATCATTTCTACATTCCGATTTCTCTGGATGTTGCCTTCATGACGGCGATGAAGCCTCGATTCCTCATATGTTGTATCGAGCCCTCGCGTGCTTCCCCATACGATCGTAATTTCGGCAGACCAATGCTCATTAGAAAAATTCAACTCATTATTCCCAACACAGATGTAATATCCCCTTCATCGACACGGAGACGAAAATCGTTCTCAGCGGGGATGTAAGGGTGAATAAGCGAGGCGCCCCGATGGCGATTATGCGAGCCGTTTTGATCGCGATTACGCGAGGCGCCTCGATGGAGGCTGACTCGTCTCCGACTTTCCAAGGTCACTCGTGACTTCCTGGAAATAAGTCACACCTGCTCATTGCCGATTCGTCGGGAAATTCATTTTGACGATATTTTCTTGCTCGGTGCCCCTACTTCGTTATGCCTCGCGAACTTGTACCGAACGCAAAGTAAATGGCCTTTCAGGAGCGGGTAAATGGCAAGAATAACACTGCGTCGTGGTCTAAAATAAAGGAAGGGGAGAGGTGTGGAGTTCTCAAGGGCACGAAGGGCAAAATCAGCGTCCTGATATCGTGTTCTTACGCATGATAAATTGCAGTAGTTTCCTCCATTTTCCCCAGCAATTTCTTTTTTTTTCGAAATGTACCAGAAAAAAAAAAAATATAAATAATTCGGGCGACAATGTTTTGAAACAGTGACCACGCTGATGTCTCAAGAATTCAATTAAGAACGCGGAAAGTGAAGGGAGGTGGAAAAAAAGGGGAATATTCGTTCCCCTCAATCATATAAGAGACTCGATGGAGGTAGATGGATTTTTAAGAAATGATTTCCGTTGGAGTGAGTCTAATAGGTGGAAATTTGAATCCTCTATTGTGAGCATAACGTCTCCTTGACAATCCAGTGTTCATCGCAATACCCATGCATAACTGAACCACTTCATTGCATTTATACACATGTAGCTTATAGTACACAGGGAGATTCTGTTTCTAAACATCATGATATTTGAGTCGATTGCCACAATCGCCATTGTGAACGCCTCGGTTTAGCACGTTTTCATGAGACTCAAGGTGACTTTGCTGATTTCATCTTCCTAGTACATGTAATACTCTTGCATCACCGATTGGGCTATGATTGGGCTATTGGTCATGGGCTATTAGCGTTAGCGTATGGTACAGACACCTATGATTCTGAAACAAAATGAAGCATTTCCAAGAAATTGTTCAATGGCACAGAGGGAAGCTAGTGCATGTGCGGCACAATTCTTACGACTAATTCCTGAAAATGCCTCGCTGCCACATTAGCACCAGTGAGCAACACCTTCAGAGCCTCAGGGTAAAGTGTGTGTTGCAGCAGGAGCATTTTCCGTTGTGGCAGCAATGTGAAAAAATGCCCCCTCCCCACAGCAAAATGTACAGCCTGACATTGCTCGCTACGCCAAACGACTGTAGTGATTGAGATGACATGGAAAGGCATAACATCCTAAGTTCCGTGGTGTAATGGTAGCACACTTGACTGGCAAACAGGAGGTCCGAGTTCAATTCCCGGCCGCCGTCTGGCTTTTCGACACCTGAGTGTTGCTTTCCTTGCATCAAGTTGCCCACCAGGCTACATGGCTCTCCTATTCCTGAGCTCAGCATTCGCTGCCTCTTGCTGTTCAGCGGTCTGAGCAACCTTACGCTCCCTACGTGCAACTGGGTACTGTTCATCACTTTTTCTAGCCATTATGGCTAGCACTTCCTAAAGCACCGATTTAGGCACTTCGCACTGCAACTGCAGTGGCAAACGTTGTTTCCGTCCGAGTACAAGTTTTTTTTATCTGCAGCGACTGCCTCATCGCCGTCCCATGGGACCTCCTTCAACATTTTTGCTTCGATTTCCACCGCACCTCGCAAAAATCACCACCATTTTCAGGGTATGAGCGGCCCGTTTGCGCGACAAATGAAACAAAGAACTTACGTGATTATTTTGACTTCATCAATCGTGAGAACTCAAATAAATCGGCCATTACATGAAACCCAAATATCAATATAAAACTATCTCATGAAAGTTATGGCGCGAACCGCCACGCCTGACCAAACAAAATAAAAATACATGCAGAAAAACATACTTCAGCAAAGAATGTATTCAAATGGAGAACTTACAGTCAATC